TTCAACGTAAGAATCGTGCGACGGGAAATCGCCCTGAAAAAAAAAAAAAAAAAAAAAAAAAAAAAAAAAAAAATAGGGCAGCCCATATCATCACTACCGTTTGGAGTGACAAGGTTCCCGCCACAAAATTAACATATCGTTCACCTCGAAAAAAGTATTGTACTCCGTGACAATTATCCAGCCGAAACATCCCATGTGGCGATACCCACCAGGGGAAAAATATTTGTGTTCAATTCTTTGCAGTTATGTTATTATTATTTTTTCTTTTTTCTCCGCGCGCTTAACTTGTTAAAAATATAGAATGGATTTTTCATGGATCTGGGTGGTAGGAGGGTTCCTTTCTTCTTTGACTCTCATTTTGGTAATGATACCCGTGCAGGTGGAACAATGCATATAAATAGTCACGCTCTACCCAGGCAACCCTACAATGCAGTGTTGCTCCACGACCACGAAGTTAGACAATGTAAAGGTAAATTATTAACTGGGAGGAGGTAAGGTGAGTTGGAAAATTTCCGTTCACATTTTGTTTGGTTTAAAAAAGGGGAAATAACACGAAAAAGGGTCGTGCCACCAAATGTTTTGCAAAATGTCCTATACCTCTGTGCACATCATTTATGAGCCACTTACCCAACAGCTACATGAAAAATGTGAGCAATGTTTACATTCTCTATGGGGAACACCCCTCCCCCCCCAAAAAAATAAGGATACATCCGAGTTGTCCCCTCAAATGATAAGACATGCGCTGGTAGGGCCAACTATTTTGTGAAAGCGAAAAAAATGGGGACAGACATGGTTCCTTGCGTGAATAAATTGCACGCGACACAATGGCAGTCTAGCGCGGCCAAACATATGTAACAGGTCCGGTTAAATATCTGCGCAGGTATTGTTGTTCCGTTTTTCCCATCCATTTCGCTTTATGTACTTTATTTAATCCCCTCATTAACAGCAGTGGGCGGCCGGACGGAAATATTGGTACATTACGAAAGCGCGGCATTTTTTGCTCTTGCGTACCCGTTCACTCAAAAATACATTTTCTTTCTTTTTCCTTTTATATGGGCACAGAAAAGATAGTTGTACCTATTTGTATGGTACATGGGCCATGCGTTTTGTTTTTTTTTTTTTTTCCCCTCCTGTGTACGTAGAAAAGGGGGGAAGGTAAAGAGGAAAGTTTTTTTTTTTTTGAAAAAGAAGAAGAAAAAAAGTCTTTCAAGCTATAACATGCCCACAGTGAGACATTCGAAATACGTGTTCGTCCACATTAATGGTTTTACACGAGGGAGGGGTAACCGCTTTTCAATAGGCACGTAAATGGCTGTGTGTGTTTGTGCTGCATACCCGCTTGTTCTTTTCACAACATATGGGGGTGTCCTGACGGGAGAAATATATAACCCTGGGGTGCCAAACAAGGTACACGTAGTATCTCAGTGAAGCAGAAACTTCGTTTCCACGTAGAGTGTGCTTAAAAAACCCCTTTTGCCATTTTCCATGGATGAGGGCTTATGAAATGGACACCTAAGTTGGTTAACACAGCGAACAGAAAGACTGGCCATTCGAAGGAGAAACAAAAATTGGGACAATTTTTTTTTTTTGTTTTTTTTTCTTTTTCTATCCTCCCACCTGTTCTGTTCATTTGCATAACCCTGTTGAATGATAGGACCCCATGAAGTTCCCCTCCACTTCAAAAGCGCGGACAGATGGTGCTTGCCGTAACGCATATGTACTGATACATGTGGATATGTGCAGGCACATGATGGTTTAAATGCAAATCATAAATCTGTACGCCTTTTTATGCTCAGTGGCGCTGGCATATGACGGCATGTGAAATGATATGTCCATGTGCACGTGTACAGGAGTACACGCGTGCATGTATGCAGGTATATGCGTACGAGTGTATGCACGCCGAAGGGGGGTACACATGTGAGGGAGTGCCTAGCGCATCCGTACACGACATAAAGCCATGCGAATTTAAAAAAAAAAAAAAAAAAAAAAAAAAGCCACGAGCGGAAGGAGCAAATTCCTGTGAATGTGGAAGGTAGAGGAAAAAAAAAAAAAAAAAAAAAAAAAAAAACATATCAAGCAGGTATAGCTAATATGTAAAACGAAGGAGCGAATCGAATGAATAAAGCCACCTTGCCCCAACTGACGCGGTACACTGGCCATTCTGCACATTGTGTAAAGAAGGGCCAACCGGCAAAGTTCATAAACAAAAATTGCAAGTGAAATAAGCACAAACCGAATGAGCCGAATAGGGGAAAACTCAAAAGTCCTACATAAAACCATTCACAAAGGAAACAAGGAAAAAAAGGGGTGCTCTTAGGCGAATTGTAAAAACTCAAACTTGCCCACATGTTGAAGGGCGAAGGATTCACTTTTTGCGCCTTTTTCTTTTTTTTTTTTTTTTTCCCTGCGTCTCGTATATGTTCTTAGCAGCATAAGTGGCACGTACACACGCGTCCCCCTTTAGCATTTAAGCTTATGCGTATTGATGCTGCACCCGAATAACCTTTTTTCCACTTCGTGCGTCCAAGGAGTTTACAGCCCTTAACGCATGGATAGAGTAAATTACGTTTATTACATGTATTGAGCGTTTTAGCTGTGTTACGTGTGTTGCGTTTTTTATCTGTTTTACTTGTGCTAATTTTTTTTTTTCTTGTATGGGAGAGGGCACAAAAAGATATCTCTTTTTGCATGAACGGTTAAGGTAAAATATCGTGATTTTTGGCTATTTCTTTGTATATTTTTTTTTCGTTTTTTTTCACAATTATTAAGCCCCCCGTTCAATCCCATCGGCAGCTCCTGCTGCAAACGAGTTTGCCATTTTGTTGAATCGTCACCCTCCCTTTCGCGGATTCCGAAAGGAGGTCCTAGAGTAGGCTATAGCCTCGCACACGTTATGCCTCCCTCCGCATGTTGCCGACGCACACACATATGTGTATAGCTATATTGCGCTTTAATGTGACCCTCCACAGCAGACAATAAGTACATCCCCCCTCTCATAATCGTTATGAATGCAACAAGCATCATTAATCGCGAAAAAAGAAAAAGACAGGAGGAAACAAGTCATGTTATTAAGAAAAAATTCAAGCAGTGGAATATGTTAAATTCTTTGGAAGGCAATAATCAGAATGGAATTGCGTCCACTTCGTTCCGCACGAAGAAGGTACATAAAAATGAATACACACAAGAGGGCGTAGACAATGTATCAAGTAACCACTGTGCAATGTACGATGAACAGATTAGCTTGGACAAAGCAACTTCCAGTGGAATGAGCTCGTACACTCAAGATGGTAGTGCCCTTCTTCATGTATGTAATAATCCCGACATGAGTTGGACCCACCCGAACGAGTCCCAGTTTTATTTGGATGTTGCTGTGGGAAATGGACAGGAAGTTTACCCAGAGCGTGGGAATCAGGACAAGCAAGGCTTGGAGAATGGTCGACACGGAAACGGGGTGAATAAACTGAAGAGAATCCGGGGAAAAAAACTCACCAGAGGAGAGATCAAGGGTAATGGGAAGAAAAAAAAAAAAAAAAGAAGGGAATACGGACTGGGTGATAGCGATAAGGATCATAGCGGAAGAGACGGTGGAAGCCGCGATGATGAAATTTGTAGCAGGCGGTACACTAGCAGTCAGAGCAGCGAGAGCAGATGCTACTGCAGCCCGCCTAGCAGTAGCTGTAGTAGCAGCTGCTGCGGCAACCGAAGTAGCGACTACAGTGAGAGCCATGGCAGCTACGGCAGCTCAAGCCGCGCCTCCAACCGAGGCAGAAACCACAAACGCAGAAGAGCCAGTGAAGGGAACCATAAACTTAGCAGCGGCGATTCCCTATGGGAAGGACTTCTAAAGAAAGACGTAATCCTTCTCCTAATACAAGCCATAAAAAATATGGGCTATAAAAAATCAGCCAAATATTTGGAGTTAGAAAGTGGTATCGAATTGGAGCAACCAATAGTGAAAGAACTACACAAGAATGTCCTAGCAGGGAAATGGAAAAATGCAGTGCGTAACTTGAAAAGCATACGTGTACATAAAAGAATCATAAAGGCAATTTCGTTCCTACTATATGAGCAATGCTTTATAGAGTACCTATATGAAGGGAAGTACTTTGCTGCTCTGAGGTGTCTAAGAAACAAGCTAGCCAAATTTTGCTTCGATGAGGATACCTACAACAGATTACACGAGTGCACAACATTTTTTATGTCCATGAATAGTGCCCACTTGACAAAAAAGAGAAAACAAAATTACCAGACAAAGGTTAAGAATTCACGTAAATTACTGTTTGAAAAAATGAATCGCTTGTTACCTGAACACATTATTCTTCCTCCGAGGAGATTAGCCATTTTGTTGCACCAGTCGCTGAAGTACCAGGTGGACAATTGCTTGTTCCATAATAACTTCTCTGAGGCGAAGCTCATAAGTGCGCTCTTGCAGGAGAAGAAGGGACGCGAAGAGTTGGACACCGCAAACGCGATGAATGTGCAAAATGGAGTAAGTGTTGCAGACGTCACGGACTCAGCCGATCCGAACGCCAAAGCGCATAAAATGGCGCGAGTTAAGCCGACCACCTCTTACAGCGCAGCGTGCCAAGCCAAAATATATGAATTTAAGAAACAGAAAAAATCAGATGACAATAACGAAGTGGACAGTGGCACGAAGTCATGTGTAAATAAAAAGAAGGATGGCAAGGACGAGGATGGAGTGAACTTTTGTGCAAGTGAGTTCTCTAGGTACCACCAGAACGTGGGGAGGGAGTGCTCCATGTATTACCACAAGGCAAATCCGAACAGTGCCCATGCAGACTTCGGAGGATCAGACGCCTATGTCGGGGTAGAGGACGCGAGTGAGGATAAGGGTATTCCCTGCGGACTCACCTCCAACGAAACGCTGCTGAATGATCCGCCGCCAGATAAGCCTGGCAACTACACAAACACGACTACCCTCCTTTGGGACGACGAACTCGTAGGAGAAAACCAGTTTAACGTAACCAGTGGGCAGCCCGTAAGAAAGAGCACAAGGCTCAAGTCTGCGCTGCTACCGAGAGAGGCAGTAGCGGCGCGCTCCTCGCCAGGCGAGGAGGGCCACACGTCGCTGACGGGGGGCAGCACGAGCAGCAGTGCGCATGTTAGTGCCAACGCCAAAATGACCACCTCGGCCACACTGCTCGCCAAACCCTTCCCCTGCCTCAAGGATACTATCATGAAGAGCGCCAAGTCGACAGCATGCAGAAAGTACGCGAAGATAGCAAGTAGCGGGCCCAAAATATGTACCCTCAAGGGATCCACCAGTGAACATCAGAAGGGAGAGATCACCGTGGGGAAAACTCCAAGTGAGCTGTCCGTTGGAAAACACAAAATCCAACAAGGTAGTAGGATATCCCGTGCTAAGAATGTGATTAATTCGAAGGACAGATTTGTTAGTGCACAGGAGAAGGGACTCTTAACAGGGCAAGATAGGGGACACGAAACTGACAGAGCTACTACAAAGGGGGACATGGCGCCCCTTGGAGGATGCGTGGGTGCAGAAGAGACACTGCACTTGAAGGAGGGCGAGGATTATCGCAACGTACACCCAGGGGAAAAATACGAAGAAAAAGAAATGCGAGAAGAAAGGAGAAAGGAATTTACCCGACAAGACAGAACTCACAGCAGCATGTGCGAGGAGGGTGGCAGAAAAACGTTTACATTGTCATTGCTAAAAAATCACCAATGTAAAAAAATAAAGCTACCGTATTACTGCATCAAAATTTTGCAAGGTCATAAGGATGAGGTGTGGTACGTGAATGTGTCGAGGAATGGAAAGTACATTGCGTCGGCAAGCAAAGACAAGAGCATAATTCTTTGGAAGGGACTTTACCCATTTAACAAGCTAAGGGAATGGAATGGTCATTTGGACGGAGTGAGTTACGTCATTTGGAGTCACAACAGTAAGTACCTAGTGTCTGGTTCGAACGATTCTAACATTATCATTTGGAGTCCAAAAAGTAATAAGAAGAAATTAAGCCTGACAATGCACAATGGGCCTATCACATCGATTTACTGGTCCAAGGATGACTCTACAATCATATCATCTGCCTTCGACAAAAAAATATATTGCACAAAGTTGAACAGAGAATTGAAGGGCTTTTCCGTCCTGTACGTGTGGTCGTTTAGCACAAGGATACAGAATTTTGTTTTCACGAACAATGAAAAGTACTTAATTGCAGTTCCATCTGATAAAAACGTACGGGTGATTGATTTTGCTATAAAAAAAGAGTTATACATTTTGCCTGAATATGATACTATCACATCTGTGTGTGCTTCCAGTTTGTATAATCATATCCTGGTAAACATAGCCGACCAGAGACCCACTGTGAAATTGTGGGATGTGAAGCACAGGTACATTATTCAGACCTATCGAGGACACAAGCAAGGGAGGTTCATCGTGCACTCCACCTTTGGGGGTAAGAAGGAGGATTATGTTATTAGCGGCAGTGAGGACAGCTTAATATATATTTGGCACAAAACCAAGGGTTTTCTTCTGGACGTGATAAATGGGCACGCGTCCACCGTGAGCATTGCTATATGGCCGCTGGCGAGCTCCAAGTTCCCCTACATGGTGTCTGCCTCGGATGACCACACCATCATGGTTTGGAACGTGCACCCGAAGGCGACGACTATCCGCAGGGATTCCCGAAGGCGCCGGAAAAAGTTCGTCCACCCCTTCCTGCGCGAGCTCAGCAAGTTGCGCCCGATCCTGCGGTGAAGTGGAGAAGCGGTGAACGAATGGCGTTTGGGTCCCAGGCGTACACAAAATTTGCACCCCATGAAGGTGCCCACCCGACTGGCATTCAGGGTTTGCCCCCACACATTTCAGTTTTCGCATTTTTTTCAATTTTGCTCCGTCTTCAGACGCCCATATATATACATACAAATATAAATATATGTGTAAATGTATATGTATGTATGTTCTGGTTTTTTTTTTTTTTTCCTTTTTTTTTTTTTTTTGTTATCTCCCCCGAGGCGCACGCGACTCTCCTACTGATTTGTTGGAGACCCTCCTTATTCTTTGTGTGTGCGCGGCGTTCGCAAAGGTCTATATGTGTAGACCCGTGTGCGCGAGGGGAAGTGCTGCCGCTTGGTTGGTTGGCAGTCTCAGTAGAACTGCAACAAACGAGCAGCGAACATTCGCAGACAACAGAGTCTGTCCTGTTTGGCCAGCAACACAACAACAGTAAAGTATTTTTTGAGGAAATACCAACTGGAGTAGCACAAGGAAGGAGAAAAAAAAGAAATCCTTTTTGTTTTCCCTCACAAGTGAAACGTGTTGGGGAGATAGACCATAATGAACAACAGTGTTGCACATTGCTGCACATGGGTATATCATTTAGGCACTCTTCATAAGTTTCTTCATGACGTAAGACAGGGGACAAAATTGGTGTTCGTTTTTAACCTTGTATTATTAGCAGCATCAGAAGTGAAACATTTTTTTTATACATCAGGTGTGTCCTCAGGAGCGAATTTGCGCGGTGTGCTAGGCAGAAAAAAAAAAAAGAAAAAAAAAAACGGAAAAGGAAGCGTAAGCGCAGGGCAAAGGGCCATCCCTGCGCAGAAATGTACGTTAAGCCACAAAAAAAACAACTGCTATGTTCCCATTCTCCCCAAGCAGAACTTCTCAGAGCGGCAGCATGGCCGTCCTGAATTCGGAGCCGCTTGCCACGGGGAAAGGGGTATGCACATATGCGAGCGCATGTACATATATATGTGTATGTACATATGAACATGTGCAAAAAAACGAAAAAAGGCACGCTTTGTGCCTGACTAGTGCCAGAAGAACAAAAAAAAAAAAAAAAAAATAATAATTGGCGCGTTCCATTTGGAAGTCTTGTTCCCCTTTGCGCATCACCAAGTTATATGAAAAAAAGAACAAAAAAAATATAACAATTATTCTTCCTTGTCCTCGGGAGGTCGTTCTTGCTACACATCATTTGTTCATTCATCGTCTTGTTATTGGGCCTAGTTGTTTTACATGAGCGGCGGATTGAAGGGGGAACAGGGAAAATATACGAGGTGAATCATGTATGGAAGGGGGCAATCCAGCCGATGCACAAGACAGGAGTACTCAAAGGTGTGGAAGCAGCGTCGCCAGGAAATCTACGCTAAGCAGTAGTACCATTTCGCAGAGTCTTCTGACTGAATCGTGTACCCTTGACTGTACCATTTTGAGCATCCTCTTCATCTTCGTCGCCGCCAATTTGTACATTGTATGATGTACTTTTCTGCGGCGTTGTGTGGTCCTCCTTGTCGAGCTAAGGTGGTGGTGGGGGGAATAGTGCGGGTTACAGGGCCCATTGGGTTGGTATGTTGTGGAGGTGCTTGGGCGCAAACTTTTGGACGCTGCCCCTTTTCTGGGAAAAACAGGAAAATTCCACCAATGGGTGTCGGCGCTACCGTGTTTAGGGAGTCCAGCATGTTTTCGATTTCTTCTCTTTCCTTCTCCTCCAGACTGTCCATCTGGCAAGAAAAGGAAAAAAAAAATACATATATGTATATATATGAATGTATATGTATATTGCCCGTTATGTGCTGCTGCTACCAAGGACAGGCCCCACACATACATGCATGCCACAACATGGGGTGCCCGTCGCCCAACTATAAAGTCTTATTCTAATTCGCTGCAAGGTCCATTCGCTCTTCTCCATCTGAAATGAGCATCCCATAACTTACCTCCTGAGTATCATCCACTGAATATTCGGAACAGGAAACATTAAAGAGGTGTTTGTTAAAAGGGGGGAGTTCACGGACAAGGGGAACAGAAAGGCAAATGTAGCGGGAAGCGGTGTGCGAAGAAGTGACACCCTGAGTGACGAAATGCTGATTTCGTGCGTGTGCGCATTAGACTGTACCATTATCTTCAGGGGAGTAAACAGCCGAATGGCTCATTGTCCACAGGGACGAGGATCTTGTCCTCATTCTTTCCCTTTCCTCGAGTTCGTCTGAATGCAAGGTAAACCAATACACTGATGAGTGCACGTTCTAGCGAAAGCGTACGTTTTGCTTTTTTGTGGTCATTTTGGAAGGGTGTCCTCTCTGGTGGGATTCGCTGGACGAACCTTCCAGGATGCTTATCTACAAAGAGGGCCCCATGAAAAAGGGAGAAAATAAAATGAAAAGGAAAAAAGGAAAAAGGAAAGTTGATTGATTCCAGTTAGCCTGAGTGTGCACCACGGCTCGGAATCTTGCTCAACTGAACTTCGTATCTGTCACCTGTCTCCTAATTTCCTGTCGTATCTCCGACATGAGGAACATCAAATCATTTTTTGTGATGCTCAACTTTTTGGATGGAACTATTTTCAAGTTGATCCTGCTGGCAGATGCGGCGATGGAATCAACAGGTGCGTTTTCCTTTTTGGACGTAATCACATTGGCTATGTCTGCAACGCCGGAGAGGATCTCACCGAATGGTAAAATCTCCCCCTTTTCACAATAAATAACAGGAAGCAGCAGATTTATAGAAAAGAACAAAACGAAGAAAAGCAGACAGTTCATCTTGAATGGGGGTAGCGAAACACACGGGGGGGAGGCACGCCACTTCTATGACGAGGTGGAACTTTTTTTTTTTTTTTTAGGAACAAGTACAAACTATGCTTTGTTATTCTAAGCTGCAATTTGCGAAGAGAATGTGCTTACAAAAGTTATATGAACAAGTCGGATAAACAAGGGGAGAGGGAACATTTAACCAAGGGCAGAATAGGAACGAGAGTATTTACAATGGTGCGCGGACAGGTGTTATCTTCTGAAGGACTAATCGATAGGGGGTGAGTGGGTGAATTCCCCGTATACATCCGATGTGCTCGTGCCATTTATTGCTAATCGTGATGAAAATACAAACTGGAAGAATAAAATAAAATAAATATTGCGTGTAAGTACACCGGACAAACGCGGGCAAACTCCACGCACACAACAGGTGGAAGAACAGAGTAAACCCCTTTGCCTTGACAATACAGGGATAGGACGGGAGCAAATAAATTAACCTGCAACACTGCGTGATTGACTGATTTTATGATACCCCCCACCACCTAGCTTCTTCTACATAAAAAGCACTCTATCGACGATCGTACGTTGGGAAGGACAACGAGAGCGTTCAGAAGAGGATGAACACTCCAAATCAAGCTTCCTAGCGATTAGCCCAAGAACCAACAGTGACTTTTCGAACACAATTGAAGACACGGATGCGATATATATGTATATATATTTTTCTTTTAAATAGTCAGGTTCTGGACATTCCTTAAGAAGTATTCCTGCGTGCAAGTCCGAGGGCGTTGCGCAGGGGGCACGGGAAAAAATAAAGAACAAAAGTTAGGCCAAAAAAATAAAGCGAAAAAATGTATAAGGGATGAAGCGTCCACAAGAGGAGGATATTCACCACGCCGTAGACAGAAAATCGGAAATATACAACTTAAGTAAAAATCAAAAGAGAAGGAAAAAAAAAGTTTGAATGAATAGGTCAGGCTGAGGCTACGTGACAGCCCTTTGTAGTAAACGATCCAATCGAAGAGGGCAACCAATTTTAATGTCCATGTGGAGTAATGCTCCATTCCGAGATGGACACAAATGGCGCGCAAAAAATTGAGGAATGCGTGAAGGAACAAGGGTAGAAAAAGGCAGAACTACTCATATTTCCCTAATTCCCTTGTACATCCAACATGCCACCTTCAGTTGGCTAAATCCAGTCGGTACACTCATTCTTATATTCGCGAGCCTTCACTTTTGCCGCCTTCACCATTTCGGGCGTAACCTGGTTCATCTTGAACACCCTATCGGCGGGAGCAGTAGTTCCATCTTCAAAGTTCACCTGACTATGCATCATGACCAGGTTTATGTTGCCACTTTGTGTGCGAAAGGGAGTGGAGTAGTAGTAATAGTCGACGGTCGTGCCTGGCGTTAATTCCTTCAAGTTGGGAGTGGACGTCTTGGTAGTTTTGTAGTAATCGTAGACCCTGTAAAGGGTGTCCATGCAGACAAAGAGTGAGAACGAATCGGTTAAATGCACAAATATCCTCAGGAAAGGTGCAAATGTACACGCGTTTGTATCTGCACAACTGCGTATATGCCTGAGGAGAACAAGGGTGCACGTTCCAGCCCATATCTAGACATGTGTGCACATGGAACTCACCATGTACAGGTATCCGTCGTCAACATCCTCATGCCATTATCTGAAATGCCATGTCTACAAGAGGAGAAGGAGCAACATGTAATAAAGCACGGAGAGAGCAATGCCACATGGAAAGGCCCCGAATGGGGAACAGGAAAAAAAAAAAAAAAAAAAAAAAGGACTCAAATGGCAGTTCAATCGAGTATACACTCATAAACACAACTGTATCCGTTTCTGTAAATCCCATGTGTTCCTTTTGTGTGTGTGTGTGTGGATTACTTTAGAAATCTTTCCATCTGTTGAACTGTGTACTGGTCACTAGAATTTTGCAGAAACATTCTATACTTGTTTGCCTTGTCGTCGTCCGTTCCCATAGTAGCAGAATCCGTGTCTCCTATGAATAAGGCGTCTGATGAAGCGAGGTTGTCCGATTCGCCCACTGGTTCCAGCTTGGCCAAATTGGAAGAACCTTTAGATGCATCCGCCTTCTGCTCCTTGCTTGACGTGTCCGATGCACCTCCGTCCGAGGAGAGCACGTTGTCTGCGGATGAGTCCATCATGAGGGAAGAGAGCGAGGTAGAAGAGGTTATGCGTGAACGAGAGAGCATGTAAAAATGAAATGGCGTGTAATGACTGTCCATGTTACATTCTATCGCTGTTGTTACCTTTATCGGGCGAATTTGAGGCATCCATTGTGGCTAGTAAAAATATTTGGAGCGAAAGGGCTATATGCACAGGTGTTAGCGTAGCGGCCAATGCTTAGGTTAAGAAAAAGTTGGCGTGAATAAATAGACTTAACGATTTGGCAAGAAGAGATAGCACTCAAAGAGTTTATTGCGGTGCACCAGTTTTCATTACGCCTCCGTAGAAGGGGAAAAGAGAATAATTGCAATAGGCAAAAAGGAGTGTTGCACTATGCGTGGTGAGTGATGAATGGTGTAGGTTTTAAAGTGTGACGAGGAAGGAGAAAAGCAAACATTCTTTCGGTAGATTGATTCGTTAGTGCTGTTGTTCAATTTTGTCTTAGTTGGGGCAAGAACAAAAAATGTAACTCAACAGCGTGACACTTCATAACAAATGTTATTTTGAGGTTGTTTGTAGGTGTAGCACAAGTAGCAGGAAAAAGAAAAATAAAAAAAAATAGCTATTATTTTATTTTATTTTGTTTTCAAAATAAAATGTTCATTTATTATACCATTTCCTTAATATGAAAAGAAAAAAGCTTTTTATTATTTTTTTTTCTTTCTGTCTGTTCAGGTAAAATATACAAAAAAAAAAAAAAAAAAAAAAAA